GACCGCCGCCCGCACCCACGGCCCGCGGAGCACTCCGCGGGAACGGAGCTAGTGCGGGTCTCTCTCCCCCCACCCCCACCCCAGCTCCCGGTTAAGACAGAGAGAAAGATAAGCGGAGAAACCCCAGCGCTGAAAATGCGCCACAAATATCTGCGGCTCGAAATGAACATTTTGCATTTAGCTGTGTAACGTGTCGACGCAGGACTTTAAGAACTTAAGAGTGCCAGAAAATCCCCCTCAAAGAAGCCCAGGTCATTATAAAGACGATATCTAGCCACCATAAGCCTTTGAAATGACCTTTGGCTCGTACAGCAATAACTCACCACTTAATGAACAACCAACGGAAGCGCCTCCAATAGCTCACAACACAACAGACCTTACAACTTTCCACTAAGTCTTCTCTCTCCCTACCCAAACCCGGTAGGATGCAACATTCCCCCTCCAAATTGCCTTAATTTATGCTGGCAAACTGGAGTTAGGGAAGTGGAGCTTCATGATTACACATGATGCTCACTCAGGTTCTTGGCCCAGGCCTGTCCTGGTAACGTCTTATATAATATATTCACGTGGGCGTACGTCAACTTTAAGTGCTTTGGGTTTGGTTTTGGTTTTTTTTTTTTAAAGAAGGTTCATTAGAAATAGCACTTTACAGAGTGTACGAAGGCAGCGTATGTTGGGTTGCACCTTAGTCCCTGACCGGAGAGATCATAATATTGCAAACCGAGTCATTGTTAGCCGCTGTTGATTAACACGGTAAGTTATAATTTTGTGCCTAATTAATTATCGACTTCTCATCCCTTTCCAAAGCAGCTCCTCAGCCTCACAAGCGGTAGCCCTCTTGCTCTAGACATGCTTTACTTGGTAAGAACTTGGCCAAATACCGAGATTTCCACGGCCACAGGAATAGCCCCCAAAGTTTGTTCTGTGGAGAGGGGAGTTCGGGCACGCTGGGGTTGTGCTCTGCTCCCAGCGCCGCTTCTGCAGAGCCGACCTCGGAGAAGTTGCCAGAGCTAAACTCAGGGAAATCTTTAGAATTATTCAGGCGTGGGCCCAATATAGGTATTATTGAAATTTTAGGTGAAGTTATAAGTGAGTGCTTCCATCGAGCCAAATGAAATGCTGCTTGCAGTAATTGGATTCAGCTGACTAACTTGGCAGGCCAGCAGCTTGGAGGCATACAGCTAAGAAAAATGTACACTGCCTTTAACTTCTGATCGAGCAGAGCAACAC